TCAAAGTTGTATGGTATTACGTGGCATATGAAATAAGGAGGAAATGGTCACTGTCTCTCTCTATGGAATGAAAAAGGTATTCTATTTCTATCCATCTCAATCAGTAATGGAAGGACCAAAGCCTCAGAACCACTGCTATTGGCAGACATGAACAATTATCGCACCAATATCAGATGGTGATTCCAAACTAATTCTTTCAAACAAACAAATTAATAAATAAAATAAAACTATTGCATTTAATTTGGCACAAAATTTATTTTTTAATGAGAAAGAGTTTTCGTTTTCTAAGTGGGAAAGTTAACAGGGAATGTAGTTTTATGAACAGTTCAATATATGTATTAGATTAGAAATGAATTAAAACACTTGCCACACATTAATATTAATCAAATAAAGAATTGTATGATTCCCATGGCAAGGGGAAACAATAAAATATCCAAAACGAGTGTGGAAAAATAAACAGTTCAGTCACACTACAAATTTTTCGTCCATAATAATTTTTTAATGCTATTAGATCGATATGTCATTCTTAAATAACATTGATGTAACTAACCATAAATGAAGGTAGATAGAAATTCAAGAGGAAAGGTACAAAACCTAAGTTGAACCACATTAGATTATCCAGTACTGTTAGTTTTTTCCCAAATGCCACAAGATGCTCTGCAATGAAAAACCAGACAGATCTCACATCAGGAAAAAGGGTTTCATCCTTTTTATGTAACAGACAAGTGCACATGTGCTAGATCCAACATAACATAGAAAATCTTTACATTGCTTTCACTAAAATTGCTTTACTCTTCACTACAAACTGATGAGCAAACAGACTAGAAAAAATGACCCCAGAAGAGCCTGTTTATGAATCCATCCTCTGCAGTTCATTCAAGATATTTTAATTGGTTGAAGTAAATGCAAACATTTGTAACCAATGAGTTGGTTTTGTTGTTTCCATCAGCTAGGAAGATCGTTGTTGTTGTGTAAAAATCTGAGAGAAAGCCACGGTCAACAACAATAATTGTTGCAAAACATTTATTTCTTGACAATGTGCTGCGGAAGGAGAGGGGCTTGAAGGTACAGCACCAAAAACTGTTGAACCCTTGGAGTTCGTGGTGTTTAGAATTGATGAACTTGTGCTGGAGAGTTGAAAAAAAAAGGCAGTGCCACTGTTAGAACATGAATGGTGGTAGCAGGAAAGCAGCTGGAAGCAATGGAAGATGAGGATTTTACCTAGTGGATGCATACTGACAGGCCATAGTACCTGAAAAAAGGGTGGCGGGAAAAGAAATAAACAAGACTTCTTAGAAACAGAGTCAATCTATGAAGTTTTTTGTCCCCAAACATGTTGCAGAAAGTTGAATTCCACTACAGCCCATTAC